AAAAAATTAAAAAAACAATTAAAGTCTTTTGAAAATATTTTCAAAATTAAAGAAAGAAAGAAAGAAAGTATAATAAGATGCAAGGAAAAGTAAGGCCACCACAATAACAATCGGGCTCTCTTTACTATTGTTTCGGGCCTAAAAGCCCAGTATGTACTTTACATTGGTCAGAGGATTATTTTCTAGGTCAGTCTTAGGAGCCCTTAATGTTCTAAATTAGATGGGCTCAGGCTTTAACCTTGAGATTAGATCCAAAATACACTTCTTCCAGCTCCCAATAACTTCCTCACGCAGAGCTTTCTTTGTTTAAAATCCTTTGCCATTCAAATCTCAAACTGTGCAATGTTATCCTATTAAGAATTCTTGGTTTTTCTCTAAATCCCCAACTTTATTGGTTTTCCATAATAATTGAAATTGCAAATGGGTGCATTTAAGATTTTGAAAGGAATAAAAAATAAAAAAACCAACAGGTGATTTAGTAAGCCAATGATCAACAAGTGATAATTAGGTTATAACTTGTTATAAATTTGTGTACATGAGAATCAGGTTATAGGGAGTGTTTGGAAAACGTGGACTAAAAATTATCGTTCATATATGTTTTAGATTGTTTTAATTCGTTGATTTAAAAAATTATTTAAAAAGATAAAAAAATTATTTTAATATATTTTAACATAAAAAATATTTTAAAAAATAATCATTATTATACTTTCAATTAACTAAAAATAACCATAACTATACTCTCAAACTAACTATACAAAGAGTAAAAAATAATTTACTCAATTCAATATTTTCATATGTATATTATACTTGAAACTTGAGATTTTTTAAACTTGATCTGTGATTGATTTAGATTATAGTTTTGATCGAGTCATTGAAGTATTTTAAATTAACCCTTAATTTTTTTTATATAAAACAAAACAATGTTGTTTTTATTAAGGAAATAAATAGTTAATGGATTGCAATTAAATTTTTAACTAGGTTAATCAAATCACTAAATTAACCTGGAGTTTTGACTAAATTACCTAGATTTTTATCTTTCCTTATTTTTTTTAAATCTAACCTGGGTTTAACCTCTAGTTTACCGAGTCTGATTTCAAATATTGGCAACAGGAAGTGATAAGAAAAACTGGTAATCGTCTTCCTCCCAAACCGATTGCTTGCTAGTTTTATTTAAAAAACAGGGGGTTTGATTTTTGGACTTGGGATTTCTTTTACCAGGCAGAATCATTATAATTTTTAACTTTTTTTTAAAAAATATTCTTTAAGTTATTTTTTATTTTAAAAAATATTAAATTAATATTTTCAAATGATTTTGATATAACATCATTAACACAAAAATACTGTGAAGTATTTTTAATTAAAAATTAGCTTACACTACATATCAAATACACTCCTCTTCGTCATCCTTTGTTAATGATTACATTTTAAATTGACAGGGAGCAGCGGAAGTTTGATGCAGAACAATAATGTGTCCATTCAAGGGGCTGGAAAGGCCACTGGAAAGCATGCTTCATTCTCTCTTAGAGGAGAAGCCGGCAAGCAACTGCATGCGACTTTTGCAAGTTGAGGTTCTATCCTCCTTGTTTAAGAAGACTATTAGGGATGCGAGTCAAGTGACAGTGACTATTAATTGTCAAGTTAAAATAACTCGCCTGCCTTCCTCCTCGAGACTAGTTGAAGTTAGCTTACCTTCTGCTCCTGACGGTAGATCTAATCCAGCAAATCAACAGCTTCCTGCGAGCCCATGAAGATTTTGTTGAGCTGATGAGAAAATTAAGAACTGTTCATTGGCTTCCAAACTCCTAATTAATTAGACTGGTTTCGGATGAACCATCCTAGCAAATATGACAAGGAATAAATTTCCAATCCTAGCATGGATATGTATCCTGTCTTTGACGAAATCAAATAAATATTCCCAGTTCTGATACGTAAAACTTGATTTCAAGATTCCACTCGAACCCAAAATTAAGAGAAAAACAAAAGACAGAGAAAATGACGTGAGATTTGTAATAACACATACAGGGAGATGCATGCCCTAATAATTTATGATGAAGGGACCTGTTTTGTGTTAACCCTAATGATACAAGTGCTTGAATTGGCATGCAAGCTTTGTCCGACTGAACTGTAATTGCAACCTAAGTGCCTAGCACATTACCCTAAATAATATAATGAGAGCGAGCAAAAAGATTCCAAATGTGCCCCATTTTATGCTCAAACATCAAATTTATAGCCAATCATGCTGCCTTAACATGCCGCTTTGGCATACTGTTTAGCTTTTTCCCTGCCTTTTTTCTTCTCCGACGGCCAGAATTGCTGTCATCATTTTGCTTCATGTTCTTGTCAGCATGGCTTGATCATTCGAATCCATCTGCCAGGTCTCAAATTGCTCCTTAATATACATAATGCTCGTCGACGACTTAAATGTCCACCGTTCTTTAATGAGATTAAAAACAACCTAACATTCCTAATTAAATTCGTTGAAGATATATAACACTACTAAGAAATCCTCTTGCTCTTACCACCATGCACGAAACATATATAAAGCGCCTGTAGTTATTACTTGTTTAATTGCCCGGGTTACGTAATGGGTTTCTATTTATTTAATCTGAAAAACATTTATAAGGGAAAAGTTTTCATGCATGCATATAAACCATTTTTACTTGATTTATATAAATATTTATCACGATATATTATTTTCATAACAAATTAGAAAACAATAAATTTTAACATTGAAAGATATTTTTTTCTTCAAAATACTACCTACCTTGGCATATAATTATATCGGAAAAACTATATATATATATATATATATATATATATATATATATATATATATATATATATATATATATATATATAGTTTTTTAATAAAAAAATATAATGTGCATATTAGGTGCATATATAGTTATTCATAAAATAATCACTAAAATCACCATTAAAACTTTAATTTTATATGAAGAAAATTATATATTTATAAAATGTCATTGTAATTGTTTTATATGAAAATAATTTTATTTTAGTATATTAAAAATTTGAGGGAGAAAAAAAAAGGAAACCGAAGACATGCCTCTGTTTGCAAGGCCAGCGCGTGTGCCTAGCCTTTAAAGAGAAGCATGTGCACCTACTTGTTTGGAGAGAATCCCACGCGCCTGGTTTTTGTTAAGAGCGAACGATGCGACATGCATTTGGACAAGGGACATGTTGTCTGGTGCTAGGAATTTCAATTATTGTGATTTTGAAAAATTAAAGTTATTAAACTTTGATTTTTATTTTTTATTATTTTAAAACATTCAAAAATATTTTTAGAAACTCAATAGCTATATTTCTAAGGCCAAAATATAAATGAATTAATCTAAAAACTCAATTTAAATTGAATATAATTTTTCCATTCAAATCACCACCGTTAAACTCTCCACAATTAAATAAATTCCTTAGCAACAAAATATATTTTTTGTAATTAAAAAGTGGTTGGTCAAAAGTCTTTTTTCTTTTTTTTTTCTAGCAAAATTTTGTCTTCTTTATTCACATATTAATAACTAAAATATAAAAATAATAAAATTTTATAATTGAAATATAAACGGAGATCAAAATGTTGAAAGACACACTTTTGAACAATGAAAAGGGAAAAAACAACCCTTTTTTTTTTAATTTCGATTCATTTTCTTTCTATTATTTTTTTACTCATCCAACCATATAATTGTATGTTTTTTTTTAAAAAAAATACTAATCTTTAATGAAGAGTTGAAATAATTTTTCCCATAGCCTATATGCACAACCATGCAAAGAAAAATAAATATTTAAAACATAAAACCAAACCAACATAACTTGGAAGGACTAAAAAAATTGAAAAAAATAAAGTTTAATGATAAAAAAAAAAATTCAGGTACCAAAGAGGAAAGATGCTATGAACAATGGGGTAAACATGCTAATGTTGCTACAAAAGCAGTGGCAACACAATAAATTCCCTGAAAACAAACAAATTAAGGTACCAAAAAGAAAAATAAAAACGCTATCGACAATGGAGTGAACATGCTAATGAATCTGCTTGAACAATGACAGCACAATAAATTCCCCACCATTTTTTTTTATTTCTTTAATATTTATATTTATAAAGAATCGTTTAATCAATCTCTTTTTATAAAAAATATATTTTGTAAGAACAATAATTATGGATGCTTAAAAATACAACAACAATAGAAGCCTTTGAAAAATTTTTATTATGCAATTAACTTTGGTGCTTTTATATGACTTAAAACTTTTTGTTATGAACCAAATGCCAAGAGTTACAATTTCTGTAATAAAATTGAGTAGTTTGATTAAAATAGATAACAGTGTTTGATATTTTTATATTAATTTGATGTGTTGATATTAAAAATAATTTTAAAAAATAAAAAAAATATTATTTTAATATATTTTTAAATAAAAAATATTTTAAAAAAATAACAACAACCATATTTTTACATACTCTATATATATATATATTATAATAAAGGATAAAAAACAATAAAATATCATAATAGAAATAATAAACATAATAATAACTTAAAAAAGATATTTCATAATAAATTTTATTAAAAAATTTTGAGCAATATCAATCAACACTAACACTAAATAATAAAATAAAATAAAATAAATATAGCCTTGAATTGAGATGTTAAAGCTAGATTTTATTGAGAGTCTCCTTACTTTATCCATTCATGTATATATATATATATATATATATATATATATATATTAATCTTTCTTATTAATGTTCATCATTTGTATTATTTTTCAAACCTTAGTCGCCATGAAAAAGAAATGAAAAATTGAGTCAAAACATGATTGCAAAAAATTGAAAACACTACACTACACATGTTTATATTTAATTTGTGATATTTGTAATCGTAGCAAGAAAATAACAAATAAAACCAAGAGCTGTTTTATTTTTTAATTTATTTCTATAATTTCCCTCCACAAGAAATAGAGAGGGAGAGAGCGCTATGCAAGCAACGAAAGAAAGAAAGAAAGAAAAGAAAAGAAAAGAAAAAAAACAACGAAGTTGACTGGCCAAGAATCCATCCATTGATGGGAGACACGCCTTTCATTCATGTTTTCTCTTTCTTTCTTTTATTTTTATTTTTTTGGCAAAAAGTTGTAGTTAAAGGTCGCTGTCTTTCCCCATTTCAATTTCTTATCTCTTGCGATTTTCAATTTTGCCTATTTTAAGCTCCTTTTTGCCTAAATACTTGGCCATTTCTTCTCTACTTTTGATCAAGCTTTCTTTCCTCTTGTATTTTTTTATCTCCTCATTAGGAGAGATGCCTGATCCGGGTTTTTTACGTTGAGATTCTTTGAGTGAAATTTGGAAGAAGAAGTTAATATTGGGGAGTTCTGTTTTAATTTTTTCCCTTGTTTTGGACGTTCTTTTGTGAAGTTTGATTCTTTGAGGCATAATAGGAGATGTGTTTTTGAAATTCTCAATCTTTAGGAAGTTTATGGAATTGGGGCATTGGAAATTTGTGTTTTTGAGGGAGAATATATGAGATTTTGAAATTTGAAGGAGAATCGGATAGCTTGAAAGTTGTTGTGTTCTTTTTGGTGAAGAAGTAAATACGATGGTGTTGACAATTGATTAGTGAATTCGTTGTTGAATTATTGGATTGGTTTCTCGAAATTCACGAGATCTTTAACTAAGCTATAAAGAGTCACATTCAGCTTCTTTTGTTGTCTTTTTTTTCTCTCAAGTCAGTAGTTGAAGAGACCCTGCTTTAATTCTTTCATTTGGAATTTGGATGCCAACTGCAGTCTTTTTCTAACCTTTTCCTTGTCTCTCTCAAGATTCACCATTGGTATTATGAAAAGGTCAATGAGATTATGACTGTTGCAACCAATTCTTTGGTTTATTTTTCGAATTTTGGATTGTTATTAGTTGGATAGGTACGAGGAACGCTTTCCCTTTTCCTTATGTTCTGTCATGTATAAACAAGCTTGTGAATAGTTTGGGGGCTGAGGATACAAAAGCCCTCATTTACTTTTTTTTTTTTTTGGTGGAAGATCAAGGGAGTTGCTTTGGAGCTAGAAAAAACAATCTTGCTTCTTCCCAGAAATCATGAAATTTCTGAGCATCATGGGCAATTCACTTGGTTGTTCTGCCTCTGGAGAACGTTTGGTTTCGGCTGCAAGAGATGGGGATATTCAAGAAGCTAAGGCTTTATTGGAATACAATCCAAGGCTTGCAAGGTACTCAACATTTGGTGTTCGAAATTCTCCACTCCATTACTCTGCAGCTCAGGGTCACCATGAGGTATTTTGTGGTTAATCTTTTAAATTGAGCAATTATTGAGTCATCTCTGTTGTGGTGATGGTGATTTTACATGTTTTTAGATAGTTTCTCTCTTGCTTGAGTCTGGAATTGATATCAATCTGAGGAATTATCGTGGTCAGGTAATTTCATCATACCTCAAATGGAATTTTTAGGCTTTATTTGTATGGTATTTTAGCTTTTATTTACTTGAAGCAACCGTTCATATAGCTTTTAGGTATTTTGAGAAACTTCAAGACAGGTTAACATCTCTATGATATAATACAATTTCTAGTTCTTTTTAATTTGTGTGAACAGACTGCTTTGATGCAAGCTTGTCAACATGGTCACTGGGAGGTTGTGCTGACTTTGATGCTTTTTAAAGCCAATGTATGTATTACTTTCAAGTCAATTAGACCATACTTCATTAACCATGAATAGCTTAGAAGATTTAGGAACCATGAATGTGACATTTGTGGAGTATTGGATTTTAGATTCACAGAGCAGATTATCTTAATGGGGGTACTGCACTTCACTTGGCTGCTTTGAACGGTCATTCTCGATGCATACGCCTCCTCCTTGCAGATTATATACCTAGCATAGCTGATTGTTGGGAGATATTAAGTAAGGGATCAAAGGACAATGAATCCATCTCTGAGTTTGATGGAAGGTACTTTCAGCTCTTAGTTTTCTTTGCACTTCTATCATCCTTTATTATGATTTTGTTTGCTGAGTTGTGCCATTGGGCTTGCACCAGTGCTCTTCGCAATGTAATCAATAGACCTGCTGATGGAGGCATAACTGCTTTGCATATGGCAGCCCTAAATGGGCATGTTGAAAGCGTGCTGTTACTCTTGGACTTGGGAGCTTCCGTTTATGAGGTCACTGTGGAAGATGGAACTACTATTGATCTAATAGGTGATCCCATTTCACTTTAAGTGATGATAGCTGAGCTTGCACTGTTAGGCTGACTTCCAGTTAATTGTAGAGGAAAAGTAATGCCTTTTTTGCAGTTCTTATTTTTGTATATTACTTAAACTGTGACACAATTCTCTACCATGGATACAAGAGCAATTGTTTTATGCCATCAATGCTCATTAATTTCTCCTGCTCAGTTTCTCACGTAGTCAGAGACCAAGACACTTTTTAAAATGGAGGCCATTTGATTAATTTGTTTTCAAACCACTGTTGCAACTCAGTAAATACAGTATACAGAGGAATTGGATTCTGTGTCACCCAAATCAAAATAGCAAAGGACACGGTTATCAAAATGTCAAATCAATCTGTGGAATTCCAAGATTTTAGTTGCATAAGCAAAATCCTATCTTTAATGACATTATTCAGCTATCAATACCTTCTCTATAGGCACGAGGTTAGTACCTATGGGTTACGGGGCACTAGTATTCTGGGCTAAATTGCTTTGCAACGCCAAATATTTAAATGTCTACCCCTGGTTGTTGCTTTGCAGGTGCTGGAAGCACGGCTCTTCACTATGCTGCATGTGGTGGAAATCCACAATGTTGTCAAGTATGTTTCCTAACAAAGAAGAAAACTATGAAACTGAAAATGAGTTATATATATGCTGAATCTGTCATGATCATGTGTTGTGCTTCAGATTTTGATTGCCAGGGGTGCTAATTTGACGGCTGAGAATGCAAATGGGTATGAATCTCATGTGGCATATTTTTGGATTTAGTACTCTCATATGTTCAATGTATATAATAATATAGTGATTTGCACGTGGCATCTACTTGAATCTTTCTTCAATGATATTATATCTGCTTTTAAACTAGGTATGGCATATACACACAATTAAAATGTTTTCCTTTACCAGTTGTTATTTTGGTCTGTATGCCTACACTGTTTGTGCCTAGATAGGAGGGTGGGCAGTAGAAATATTAATTTGTTGGGGATGTGACAATGATTTTGGGTTGGCAAACATTGTGCATTTCTTACAAATAAAACATTCTTAACAAGTTGGCATTGTCAGTGAAGCTGTTTTCCCCTTGAATTTTCTCTAGAATGTAGCTGTGGTTTTACCAATGTCTATCAAGTGAGGATGGCCACTCTTCAGAAGAAAACTTGCTTGCTTCATTTCACCTTATACACCTATGTGCCTTTTTTGCATTATATTTGATCTTAATCAACGATTATGATTTTTACTAGCAGTAATATGAGAATCTCAAACTCTTTTCTACTTAACATCAAGTCTACGTGTTAACAATATAATACACATCAAGCAGAACATAATTAGTTTTCAAGATCAGTAAAATCTGGGCATTCTAATCATTCCATTTGGAATTATATCATTGCAATGATGGATCTGTACTTTAAAATGATGTGATGGACAAATGTCCAAAGCTGTTGGATGTCCAATTGCCCATTTATTGTATGATTTACTGTATAAATTCTATTGAGATAAACCACATCGTTGTGTTAAAACACCTCTTGTTCTCTTTTGTTTGATTCAAGGTGGACTCCTTCGATGGTTGCTCGTTCGTGGCACAGAAATGAACTTGAGGAGATTCTTAGCTCACAGCCAGGGAACCAGTCTCAAATCTGTCCTTCTTCATATCTATCTATTCCCTTTATGAGCATTGTCAAAATTGCCAGGTAAATACAGTTTGTCATATTTTATTGGCTACTCTACTGTAATGTATTGGCATATACCATTTCATGTGACTTGCTACATAAAATCACAATGACCCCTGAATTTTACACTTTTGTGTACACTACAAGGTCTTTGCTTCCTGAAAGCTTTTTCTTGCCTTTAGTATCTTTTTGTGTGTTAACATCTTGCCTGGCTGATAATGTGACTTTCAATTAAGTTCCAAATTAGCAGCTGCCATCAGGGTGGCATTTGCAAAAAATGCAGACCCCTAGAAGCACTGCGGAATAAAACTATTGCACATGATGTTAACCGCTGACATGCTCATGGAAAAGGCTTTTTATTAAATATGTGGTGGAACTTTTCTAGTTCAGATTGAGTTGCATATGAATGAAATCACATTGCTTGAAGTTTTTTTAGAGCGTCATTTGCAGAACTTTTGTAGTCCAGATTGAGTTCCATGTAATAGAAATCATATACATTGCATGAAGTTTTCTTCATGGTCATTTTAGGTCTTAGAGTCTCATTTACAATCACAGAAATTAATGTTTTGTTTCCTAAGTACAATAGTTGACTATATAATCAAGGAATGTTATCTTTTGTTGGGACCATTTGCAGAGAATGTGGATGGAGGAACAATGATTCCCTCCCTACATGTGAGGATGCATGTGTGGTTTGTTTGGAAAGGAAGTGCACAGTTGCTGCAGAAGGTATGTTACTATCAATTGTTAGTAGCTTCCAATTTTCTATCATGTTTTCCCTCCTTAAATGTTTTTGTCTGGAAAGGAACTAATATTGTCAAGCGGAAATGGTGAAAGTAAAACTATTGGAAAAAATGAGGAAAGTTATTGTATCATGTACTACCTTTCTGGAAGCTATTGTATAGTGCAAATGATAGATTTGTTTTGGCTTGTGGAGTAAAATGTTGTGGGCTTGAGACCTAAGAGCTATCATTTTAAAGCAAATGCTGAAGGGTAGCAGTATCGCCAGAGTCCATTTCCAGAACCTTGTTTTTCAATTAAATTTTTTCTGCTCTCTAATTTTTGCAGTTTTGTTGCCAAAAGATGGAAAGTGGAATCTTAAAACGTTCTCTCTTAACATCAGTGTGTTTCATACACATAAATGTAGCCTTTTGGCCCATGCATATATAGATGAATCCGGAACTCTGAATGATCATTTTTTGCACCAAAACTTTGAATTCCCATGTTTTTGGAAAATAAAAAATTTTCATTTCAACATTTGGGAACGACACCTCTTCTACAGGGTTATGTTTCTGGATCCATCCAAGTGGTGGTATGAGCTGGATACTCATTTCTTAGGCTTTGTAAAGAGTGATGGATGAGGGTGATATTATATAGCAGTAGTGGCAGATAGAGATTGTAGTGGTCTGTCACCTTCATGTACATTGGTGGTGGTAGTTAGGATTATAAGTCTTCAGGTACAAGGTATATAATTAGAGAACAACTGTGACAGTCCCTTTAAATCTAATGGAAAATGAGAATTATATTCCAGGCTATTAAAACTCAGCATGAACAATTCATCCAGTAAAGCATCTACAGCAATGTAATTTTCCAGGTAACAGATAAGTCTAGGTATTACGCTGTTAGAGCATACTCATTTTCTTTCAAACCTTGGATGATTTTACTGCATATTATTTCATGTATAACATAGTTGATCAAGTGGCTTTTACCTGAGTACTTCTTTACATATTTCGTGTGTACCATTGCTTATATCCATTGATTTGTAATTTTCTTTTAATTCTACAAAAACCTTGATGTTTGGGATATTTCCAATTAGTTACGAGGGTATTTGACGAGTTCATGGTGTTTTTGTGTTTCGTGTCACCAAATAATAGCTGAAATTTGTGTAACTGATGCCAAACTATATATATATATTCTCACTATCTTTTCCTTGTGTGCTTCTACTGAATTTTCTCGTCATTTATAATAATGCCTTCACCACATAAAATAAAATGTTGTGCAGGCTGTAGACATGAATTTTGCACACGATGTGCATTATATCTTTGTTCTGCAATCTGTACCTCAACTGTTGCTCAAGGCCCAACAGGGTCAGTTGCCTGTCCTCTCTGCCGGCATGGCATAGTTTCATTTGTCAAGCTTCCTGGAACAAAGCCATTGGTTAAAGCTATTGCCAGAACAAGTTTATCTCTATCATTTTGCACATGTTCGGGTGAAGAACAAGATTTCACTTCAATGAAAACCCTACTCTGCAAGCCTGATTTCCAATGCACCAGAATTTCCCCGCTTTCATCTTCATTCCGCTCTTTAAGTTGCCGGAAGTTTCCGTCAATGAATTTCAATGCCAGCCGATGCATGGGAACTTCAGATACAAGTCCATCTTTGGTTCCTTGTACTATTGATCGGAACCTGCGTGAATGCCTAGTCAGGTGTTCAAGATCAAGAATTAGACAATCGACTTCTAACACGGAGCGCAGGAGGTCTTGGTTATCTGCACTCAATCAATATGTAACTACAGGAACTGGGTGCTAACGTTTTGAGAGCTCTGTTCGCCTCTTTCAACCGTGATGAATTTTTTCTGCCTTTTTGTCCATAATTAAAGATCATAAGTTCTGGTTGGCAGTGATTATTGGGTGTGTGTATATATAAAATAGCATCGGCAATACGTACAAATGAATCAAATTAATGTCATTGCTCTAGTCCGTCTTTCATCACTGGACAGTTATATTTTGCTTCTTACCTGGAAGATGGGATGGTGGACAAAAACCTTGGAACAGCTTGCAAGCAACTTCCAAAGCGTTGCAGGTTATTCTTCAATCTGAATTTCAATTAACAATGACTTCCTGCCCGTCTATATTTTTGTTATTAATTGTTTTATCGTTATCATTGTTTTCTGCCACATGATGGGGTAAAAACGAACATGGACCTTTTCTCTCGGTATGACATCTTTTTAAAATATTTTTCACTGTTGAATTAATATTTTTTTAATTTTTAAATATTAATATGTAAACAAATTTAAAAACAAAAAAAATATTTTTTTATAAAATATTATCTAACAGTAAAAACAATCGAGCTCTAAATTTTCAGAAAGGGCCAAAAAAGAAAAAAAGAACATTTGGCATCTGGGGCATCATCACACGAAGGACCACACGCAGCAGGCACTTCTCATTAAACGCTTTTGAAACATCTAGCTACTAGCTAGCTAGAACTAGAAGAATATCTCAAGGCGAATCCTAGGCATTTAAAACATCTAACTACTAGCTAACTAGAAGAATTTCTTAAGGTGAATCCTAGGCAATGTTTTTTTTTTAGTTTTCGTTTGTTTTTCATTTTGTTTATTTTTTTAAAAAATAATTATTGTTTGTTTTTCAAACAGTTTTAATGTATAATTATTTTAATTTATTTTTAAATAAAAAAATAACTACTTTTACAATCTCAAACAAATTCCATCAACAAGATTTGCAAGCCGCACCTCATAATCAAAGGCGGTAAAAAGAGATAAATACATACAGCTCCATGCAAAAAACAGCTACCATCAACAGCTCGATCCACCGAGGCACAAAGATTCGCTCATGGAAAACCAGAGGGATTTCCCAGCTCCCTCGAGAAAAGGGAAAGACAAACAATTCATTTAATTTATCAAAGTGTGTTCCCTACTAAAATGTCATTACATAGTTCAAAAGAAACTTAAATATTTAAACAATCCATGAAATCCATTCAATAACTCCCTTGGTCGGATTAGTTTCCTAAATATTTCCTGCATCTTCTTTGAGAACTCAAGATCACACACTAATTTATAGCAGACATAAATATTTCCTGTATTGATGTGATAATGCTCCTGCTCATATGTGCACGTAAGATCATTGCCCTAGCTTAACATAGATGCTGCATAAGAAACCAAGCCATTGGCCTGTTCTTTGGAAAATTAAAGCACTGCCCATGCAATACTTTTCGCTTAGACGCTACTATTTCAGCATTCCTAGCTTGTAAACATGGAATCAGAATCTTGATCAGGCTATTAGCTGGTTGCTTAGGCAGTTAAGGTTTGAGCAAATACCTATAATTAACTCCAACTCAGAAACCCTGAATTTTGTATCAGATAAAAAAAAAACCCAAGAAACAATTCTGACTAACCTAAATGAATGATATCATCTCTTTCCTTGAAGATTATGCGGATACAGTCTTGTCATTACAATAGGTGACGGTCAAATAAATACAAAAAAAATAGGAAGCATTTGTTGAAGTTATGCAGACGCATATCTCCTGATACGGAGCGCGAAATCTACAAAAACAGATTAATTAGCCTCACTTTTTTGAGCAGCAATTTCCAAAGTTCCTTGTGATTAATTGAAAACCATCTGCTAACAAGTCAATATGGAATAAATCAAATTTCCACGCACACCCGCTTCCTAAATTTAAGAGATTACTAAATTGTGGAGATGATCCTGATCTGCAAACCCTTTTACTTCATTTCTTTTTTCGATACTGGCATTTGCTTAATGCATGAACCATCAGAAGGTTGATTCTGAGAATAAAATACCATCAGAAATAATGATGTATGCAAGCAATATCTCTAGAAAGTCACAACAAACATAGAAAAAAGGGAAAAGATAATTCATTGAAAGAATTTATATTGCATGTTACTCCAGTAGTAACATATTAAATTAATAAAATTAACATTATTCTATAAACTTAATAAAGCTCAGGAGGAATAGAAAACATATAAAAATACAAATTAACTAATTAAAATAAAACTAAAAATCTAAATACATAACAAAAAAATATAACTAAGAACAATTATAGAAAATGTACAAAGTCTTGCAAGGTCAAGAAAAAAAATTAATTTTTATTTAAAAATAATAATAATAAAAAAAGCTCAGGTAAGATAGCACCATCAAAAGCCAAACTTCTGCTTCGTTTTCCACTTATGATAAAAACCATGGTTGGGGTACGATACTTTACAAATCTCTGCAGGTAAGGCTGGATATTTGTTTGAGTCCATCACGAAGAGCTCGATCCCTCACGAAGAAAGGCACAAGGCATGAGAAATTAGAAATGACAAGCAAAGGGCACAGGGGAACTTTGTGATATACATATATATTGATATCATTTGGTTTTCTATGGAGGATTTACTCGATGAAGAAGTGGATGTGGTTTATGTAGTGAAAAAAGGAGATGCAAATAAATGTGACACAAAAATGGCTGACATTCCCATAACACGTCAAGTCCCTGCAAGTGTTAAAGAAAATATCAACTGAGAGGACCCGAAAAAGCCTAAAAGGATCTCTCTCTCTCTCTCTCTCTGAGTAGTCTAGGATCATCAACAACAGAAGGAGGGCTTGACTGATTTGAGAGAAGATAGTGGTCTGTCTGGGAAGTAGGTTACTGAGATAAGTCAGTAATGTGACTCAACAACCATTATATCACAAAATGCATCAGTCTTTGTTTCTCTATCTCTCATCTGTCTCACATCTTTTACCCTCTAAGTCACGTAAATTCGAGAGGAATGAGAAGCATGGGGGCTCGGATTTTCAACTCGTTGAGAAATAGAAAAGAGAAGTATCACCAACAGTATGGGTGCGCAATCAATACAGGATAAAGGGGTAACATGCAGTCTTTGCTGTGTCTTTTTACTTCAGATAATCGATCCTTCTCTTGTACAACACTTCTTTGACTTGATCATTATTTTGCGTCCATCCTCATGCCCTGTCAATACTTAGTACAGTAGCAATGCGGTCCTTGAACGTTTACTTGAAATGTACACAATGCTATTTTTGCCAATTAACAATAAGCAATGGCAATACACTCACCTTATATATAGTAAATGATCATAACCTTTTGACATACTTGTGTTAATTTTGAAACCTTAAAAAAGTTGTTGGCATTTCCAATCTACCGTCGAACATTAATTACAAATATAGAGGAGAGATTTCGAATCTCAATTAAATTAAAATAGTAGCATACGCCACTGATTAATTTGATGATTTTTAAAAACCCCAAACGCACTAAATTTCCAAACACAGTATAAAGCTCCGTTTTTCTAAGCTTCTGCTTTTACGTTTTAGGTTAAAAAGCATGTGCATTTCAACTAAAAAACAGCAACAGCAGCTTAGGAAAAAAAACCAGACTCTAACATGAACCTCCATAAATTCACACAACGAGTCTTCACATACTTGTTCCATTTTATAGATTTATGGTGCATGAAAAACGTTGAGAACCCTTGTGTCAAGAAAGCATGGGATGGCTGGTTCTATATATATATATATATGGACTGTCACAGTAATGTGAGCTTTCTTGGAGCGTGTTTGTGCTGTATTTAAAAAAAATAAAAAATAAAAAAATATTTATTTTATTCTGAGTTAATAGATTTTTAATATTTTTAAATTATTGTGTTAATTTTAAAATAATTTTTTAAAAATAAAAAATATTATTAATATATTTTGAAAATTCTAAATACACACCTGGACATGAGCCCAGAAATGACGAATGATAACATACACAACGTCCAATGTTAGATAGACTGCCAAACGATATCTTTTGACGGTTTACGGGCTGCTTCAAAAACATAAAACAGCTTTGCAAGCAAAAGCTGGTTGCTATAAAACAGAACTTGGGCTTGTCCTTTCTTTTCCCTGCATCTCTTTGTTTTTCTTATACGTGTGTTTATCCATTGCGTGTGTTTGTAAAGTTTTGAAGCTAGTTCTCATTGATAAGAGAATAGAGCTAGCTAGGGTTTCTCATGGTTCATCTCGTCCCGTCACATTTGAAGCAAGGAATTCCAGTGTAATGGACAATTCTGTGCCAGGAAACTTATATCTCGCACTCCTAAAAGTCAATCAAACTGTATAGAATCTCATTGGCATCAAAGGGGATTTTTTTTTCAAAAAAATTAGCTTAATAAATTAAAGATATTAGCAATGCATCACAATAAATAAAAAAAGCTGAAATGACACATTTTGTATACATGTTGCGTTAGGAAATACAACATTTATAGTTTTTTTATTATTCAGAATAATAACATCCACAAAAAAATTAAAATGATCAAGAGAGAAGAGAAAAAAACTTAAAGATGTATCAAAACTTCTATTATAATATTACTTGTATTATCTAAATTTTTTTTACGAGATGAATATAATAACATTAAAAAAATCAATAATAATGATTTGAATGTGTCATATTTGCAGCAAAAAACGAGCGAGTCATCCATTGTTTTTAAGCAATAAATATGGTCTAATTATATCATTGTTAATATTTTTTTTTTTTGTTTTTGTTAGATTTGCTTTATAAAGAACTTTTTAATGATACTAATTATATCACAATCTCTTTTCTCTTCACTTCTATTCTTTAAATAATTTTTTAAGATTTTACTATTTAAAATAGTGATAAATTATAAATATAACGTCTCTTGATCATGGCATGCTATTTTATTTTGCTAAAAATATTTCTAATTGAGTTATTTAATTCAATATTTTTTAAAAATATGCTAATAAAACAAAAGGCCACCAAAGGATCCAATAATTGTCGGTGAGCTTCTGCCGAGTCCAAATTAAAGAAAAGAAAGTGCTCTCCCACTGAATAACAGAGAGGGTAAAATATTGTGATAACAACGCCTCAAAAAATCAGAAAAGTGAAATTGTATATTACGAGAGGCGTTCACTGCCGTTGGAATTTTCGAAAATACAAAGTAGAAAATTAATAATTAATACAATAGTAAGAAGAAGTAGGTTGGGA